GTGAGAAATTTAATGACTAGCTTGGATGAATTTGTAATGACTTTTGTTACATAGAAAGAAAGAAAAATTTGAGAGCTAAGGGAATTTGTCTACTTTTTGCATGTTATTAGTCTATATTCTTTTTCGTATTGTTTAATTAAACGAAAATATTTAAATGCATTACTATCAATAGTATAAAATAATTAGGGTTAAATCTCTTCTACGATCAACAGCAAGAAAAAGGAAGATTGGTTAACTATTTTATTTATTGTTTTTCATGTTTATTCTTTATATATATATAATTATAAAAGTAACTAAAACGTAAAAATAGGGATCCTTTCAGGTTAGTTAAAATTAACTTAGGTAAAATATATAATAATAATATTTAATAAAAATGTTTCATGAGGTACAAATACGAACAGCTTCTAGTAGCTAGTCAGTAATGTATTTCGTTAGTGTAACGTGAGCTGCACATTCCCCAAGTGATTTAGAACTTATATTGTCATGGATAGTAGTAAGACATGGTTCAAAGGTCAATAAAACAATAAAATCTAATTATAAATAGGTTTATACTGTTACGAACTTAGGGGTATTTAGGATAAATGAATGTAGTTACACGTTACAATTTGAAGTTATTCTAGAAAGGAAAAAAGGAGTCATTTAGATTTATTTAGATTTTTTTTTTCTTTTTGGTGGTTACGAGGTCAGTAAAACTGACTGATTCTGTTAAGAGATAGAGTAAAGAAAATAACAGATAAATTATAAAGTTTTACTGAAAAAAAAACGTTTGAAATGCATTTAAGAGCTTTTAGGATTTAAGCAAAGGAAATTTGAGATTTTTGAGATGAAGAAAAATATTTTTAATTTTAACATGAAAATTACTTTACACATGGACTATTCAAAGCAAATATTCAGGGACAAATCTTTATTTTATTTTATTGAAAATACCTCACTAAAATATGATTTTTTTTCTATGTGAAAGACATTATATTGACTGAAAGACTGCCAAATTTTGTGAAGATATACATACTATATTAAAAGTTAGAAGTATTAAATCTATAAAGACTTTAAATGAGTACAAAGAGGTCGTGTGGTCAGTCAATTTGACCAAGTCCATGTTGAAAGAGTTAAATCTATCTCTGTTTCCTCACTCATTTATACCCTTGTACCCCTCACCCATGTTGGAACTTGCAGATTAATACCGTTCTTCCTCTTATGCTACCCCTCGAGGATTTTCTTATTCCAAGGATATTATTGTGCAGGGGGGTTGGTTCCTGTTGGTAAATATTTGAAACTACTTAGTAAAATAAATACTGAAGTAGGACACTTGAATAACTATGGCAAATATTTGAAATTACTTCAACAGGAACACTAGTGTTTTAAGGCATTCTTTCCCTCACCACAAAGTCTCCTGGTGAGTCAGTTGTGAATTTACAGATTTACACTGCTAAAAAATCAGGGAGAAAGTGTAGATAGCCCATTGTGTAGCTATGTATTAAGAAAAATCTACCAACACCCTCTCTAAAAATAACTGTGATTAAGAAATAATGAAACTTGTTATTCATAAACAAAAACTCTTAAATCTTGTAAGAGAAACTAAAGTCTGAGGATGATCATATTGTAACAACTTTTATGTGAAAGAATTTATAAACAAGTGTTATGATAGCGGAAGTCACGTGACGTTGCTGGCGCTGGTAGCGTACGTGAAATTTCTCTAATGATCATGAATGATTGGGGAAGCCCAAGTGCATTTGGGACACCCTCTTTTTTAGTATATAAACCTGGCAGAGAAAGCCTGGGGAAATGAATGGATGATAAAACGAACAGTAGTCACTGTAAGTTTCGGACGAAGTTATCGAGATTGTTTATAGCATGTATTATAAAAGTCGTTAAGTTTAAAGTGACGAGAAACATCCTGAATGTGGAATTACTGTGTACTAAAAGTTTGTATCAAGAAAGAATAAACTGGTTTAATCAAGAAAGGACTTGTATCTCTGAAGTTCCTTGGAAAGAATTTCTACCGGAAATTCACAAACAAGTAGATACCTAACACAAGATAATTAAGCATAAATTTACTTTCTCTGAGGCACATATAAGTTCACATTTACTACTTTTAACATTGTTGTTTGTGTGTTATTTTTATAATATGAAACAATGAGTTAAATTCCTTGTACTATACAAATCATAATTAATGTGTTATGTTACACATAGTTGTCATTTAACAATGTGACCTGAAAGCTTATGTATTTGTTTTTACTCTTGCCTATGTTTATGGAAGAAAAATGCAATAAGTGCTCAATGGGTGATATCAATAATGTGAAAAACAAGACTTAGAGTTTTATTTATTGCATATTTACTTTTAGAAATTAATAGTTTTTCCAGCTATAAAATCCGTAAAACTTGCCTTTTTTATTCCTATGTACAAAATATAAATGAACTACAATTAAAATTCTGTTACACTTGTTCATTGCGTTATATTTGTTTTTAGGTTTATTGCATTACGAGTACATCAAGTCCAGTCAAATAATTAAAAATTGTTTTCTGTAATATATATAGATAGATAGATAGACAGATATAGATATATGTCACTGGAGAACTAATGTTAACATTTAGTTTCAACAACACACATTCATACAATGATATATTTGATTTTAGTTGTCACAAGTAGATCAACTACTTTCAGTTCAATAATAATTTACTTTTTTTATATTATTGCAAAACTGCACAGATGGGGGTTATCACAAACTTGTAAAATCAAAGAAAGTCCTAGAAATTCAAATTGGTCAGGAAGATTAAGTGAATTTGACTATTGGTCAGGAAAAGTCAGGGAAATATAGTCTTTATTGTTATAGAATATGAAATGTCAAACCAGAAGTAAAGAACGGAATTTAAAATTGAAATGAGTGTAAAATTGTGTGTGAACCCTGCACAGTTTACTATCTTTAGTATAAGGTTATCCTAACTCACACTTATATCCATTAAAGCCACGGGTGCAAGCCTACTGAAATTATCAAGCATTTGAAAATTTATTCAAGGACTTCTATTCTTCTGTATTTGATGTTTACCTATATAAAGCACACCAACCCTCCAAAATACTTAAAACTGCAAGGGTAATTTCAAAACATATCCCATAATTCCTTAAATGAACAGAATCCTTTGCACCTTTGCTCCCATGGCTTTACCTGAATTAGTTGAAGTTCAACTTTAGTTTGAATTTTTCATTGAGAATTCACATTCTACAAGGTCTCCATTATAACACAGATTATTATTTCTCAGTAACTTTCCACATGCCTTACAATCATGATCCAAGATTATTTACTTGGACCGTGGTAGTTCAGTTGGTAAGAATGCTAGTATGAGCCAAATACATTGGGTATAAGTCCAAGTCAAACAGATTTTATTAGCAACATGGTTTTTTTATTAACTGGCGACTTAGGTTCCCGTACCCACGTGAGATCTGTGTTAAGTACTTCCTTTCTCCATCAACACAAGTGAAGTGGTTTTAACTTTATGTGTAATATTAT